GTTTTGTTTTTGTTTTTGTTTTTTTTCTGAAACAGAAACACATGATTCTTTTACCTATTTTTTTCTTTTTTTGTAATTTAAATTTTTAGCAAATACTACTGGAGATACTCTAGCTGCCAGAAATATAGATTAAATTGATCAATATAAAGTTTAGCTTTATGTTCAGATTTTTCTTCTGTAGCTGAGGTTCTACAATCCTGTTAAGTTAACTAGTACTCAGTGAGTATTCTATAGCTATAGGTTTGATAAAGAGAGGGCTAGGGAATGTGGCTTGTTGCTAGGATGCTTGCCTAGGGCGTGTGAAGCTATGATATATACAGGATATTTTAACTTCTCCACGTAAGTAGATTGCTATGAAAATAAAAACCAGACACTTTTGCTCACTGTATCTCTTCTCTAGTCCTTCTCAAGAGTGTGTGCCAGGACCTACTGCGTGTGGACGCTTTGCCAGGTTGATCCAGGAATGGCAGAGGGCCAGCCACTGCCCTCAGGGATCTCCCAGTCAAGCAGAGAATGGCAGTAGTGTTCAGTATCTACCTACTGAACAATGTCCTGAGATGCCGGTCTACCCTCTGTTGTACAGCAGCCCAGAACCTACATAAAGACGTGAAGGCCTGTACAGCTTAACACAGACACCTTTGAAAGCTGAAGTGCAGCCTCAGGCACGTGGAACCTCCTGAAAGGGACAGAGGAATCCCAGATTGCCTTCATGGCCATCTGTACAACTCTATATTCTCAGTGTGATCTGCTTTGAGCCATAATGGTTTCCACAGCTCCCTACTGGTCTCTGCATTTGACCCCTCAGCCCTCTGACTAGAAAACCACAGCACCCGTTTCTTCACCCTCGGAAAGTGTTTCCTAAAGCAGAGTTGAAACTGGCCTTCAGAGCCTGCTCCCTTGCCTGCTTCAGCATTAAAATCCCTTTGCATTTATTAGTGATCTTTACTTCTGTAAACACTCCCAGTAACCAGGAACATTTTCAGCTAAAAAGGGTTTTATCTTGAATACCAGGACTGATAGAACAGAAAACAGAAATTTGTTACACTTTAATCAAGTTGAAAGTTTAGATGTTTCAGTAAATATTTAAAGCAGTAAATTATAAAATAGGTCCATAAAACCAAGAGAATATGAGCTCAGGCTTTAATTTAAAAAAAAAATTAAAAAAAAATTTTTTATGTGTTTCAATGTTTTGCCAGCATGTAGGTATGTGAACCCATTGCCTGTAGAGGCCAGAAAAGTTCTTTGGATCTCATGGAACTGTAGTTACAAACAGTTGTGAATCACCATGTGGGTGCTGGGAACTGAACCATGTTTCTGCTAGAGCAACAAGTCCTCCTAATTGCCTAGCCATCTATCTGTCCCTGAGCTGGGTCATTTTAATATGTACCGTTGGGGGCCAACAGGATGGCCAAGGGAGCGAATCTTAGCTTGCTGCTACATCTGGTGCCCTGAGCTCTGTTTCCCAGAACTCATATGGTGAAAGAACTGACTCTTGCAAATAATAATCTGATTTCCAGATGTACACTTTACATGTGCTTATGTACCTTTGTGCACACGTGCACACACACGCACACACACACGGACACGCACAAGTAAATATAATTTTAAAAAATTAATGAGCAGTATTGCCAGCTTTATATCTACAACATCCAGTCTGTCATTAGAATGCAGCACAATATTTTCAGAACACAGAAGTTGGATTTGATTACTGTTTTTCTATTTTTCTTTCTTTTTTCTAAAAGACAGGGTCTCTCTGTGTACTTCTGGAGTTCTCCATGTAGACCAGGCTAGCCTTGAACTTTTAGAGCTCTTCCTGGCTCTGCCTCCTGAGTCCTGGGATCAAAGGTGTGAGTCACCATGCCTAGCTTTTGGTCACTGTCTTTCAGTGAGTCCAAAACTTATGAAAAAGACAGAAGTATTGTCATCAAGAAGGTTTGGCAGATGTAGATTTGGACTCAGTACAAGAAAGAATATTGATGTTGGAAAAGAGGAGGAAGTCATGTATGAGTCAGACAGAAGCATGGATTCTTCGAAATGTCACAGAAGTGTCATTTATCGAGATGAGCCAAAAGGGACATTGACTCTAAATCTTTCTACTTTAAATATTGCTATTTTTATATCCTATTTTTTCCTTACAGCCCTTCCCTCTACCTAGTGGCTGTTTTCTGTCCGCCTCATAGGAATGTAAGCTTCTGTGAAGCCACCTTCGCCCTGTATTCACACTACCTCAAACTTGCCTAGCGTGTAACTGATACATGTGCTGAACCTTTGTATAAAATTAAATAGCTGGGCGGTGGTGGCACACGCCTTTGATCCCCAGCTTTTGGGAGACAGAGGCAGGTGGATGTTTAAGACCAACCTGGTGTACAGAGCATGTTCTAAGACAGCAACCCTGTCTTGAAAAAAAATGTTTTAATTAAATAATATATTTATATAATAGTTGTACAGTTTTTTCTAAATATAAAAATCACTTTTGCTGGGCGGTGGTGGCTCACGCCTTTAATCTCAGCACTTGGGAGGCAGAGGCAGGCGGATTTCTGAGTTGAGATTTCGAGGCTAGCCTGGTCTACAGAGTGAGTTCCAGGACAGCCAGGGAGGGCTACACAGAGAAACCCTGTCTCAAAAAAAAAAAAAAAATCACTTTTTTTTTTTTAATTGGAAAATGCTTGATTGAAGCTGTGTTCGGGCTGTAGCTCAGGTGTGGAGGGCATGCTCGGCTGCTTGAGCTCTGGGCTCAGTGTCTGTCACTGCAGAAACAAAACAAAACAAAACAAAAGCAGTAACATTTGAAGTGTGTTGGCCTTATCAAAAGATGCCAGTGCAGAGGGAAGCTCCACAGTACTTATTGTGAGAACAGGGCTCCAGAGCCAGACAATAGGCCCTTATGTTATCTGGATCTGTCTTTTACCTCCTGTAGTTGGGGATGCTGTAATTAGGCCTGCATATTGGCTCAGAACACAGCCCTCCAAGGCCCTTCATTTGCAGCTTATGGAAATTAGATCATGCACAGGAAACAGGCTCTTTAGTTATCAGGTTCCACAGAGGAGTCAAGAGGCATGAGGAGTGTGGAAAGTTAGAGCACATTTAAAGGGACAGGGTTTGCTGGGAAAATAGAGCTTTTTCCAGTCTATGTGAAGCCCTTTCCAGACTTTCCTTTCCTAGAAACACCACTGGTTTGTACCCCAGTGCTACTCAAGGGTCCCATCCTCATCTTAAATAGAACAGCTAAAACTAACAGGGAGAGTTATATATGCATATACATTGTATGTGCATATGTATGTGTGTATGTATGTGTGTATATGTACATATGTGTATGTGCGTGCATGTAAATGTATCTGTATGTATGTATGTGTGTATGTATGTACATGTGTGTACCCCTGTGTGATATGTAGCCTTAGCTGGCCTGGAACTATATAGACCAGGCTGGGCTTGAACTTGTGTGAAGCAGGCATTTGCCACCATGTTCAACTTCAGATTGTTAGAAGTTTTTAAAATACAGAAGCGATTATTATATTTATTTACTTTTGTTGTATGTGCATGGGTATATGTGTACATATGTGTGCGTGTGCATATTCAAGCGGCCAGAGATCAGTGCTAGCTGGCTCCCTGAGTCGCTCTTCACTTTACATTTTGAGACAGGATCTTTGTCTAAGCTGGGCTCATCGAGTTAAGTAGATGGGCGGTCAGTGAGCCCTGGGGTTACTCCTGTCTCTGCTTCCTAGCGCTTGGGTAACCCTCATGCCTGTGCCTGCTTTTTATGTGGGTGCTGGGGATCAAATTCAGATCCTCGCGTTCTCACAGCCAGCCTGACACCCCCCATTCCTCCCCCCCTCCCCGAACTTTTCCTGTCTTTCTCTCTCTCTCTTTTTTGTTTTGTTTTGTTTTTTTCAAGACAGGGTTTCTCTGTATAGTCCTGGCTGTCCTGGAACTCACTCTGTAGACCAGGCTGGCCTCAAACTCAGAAATCCACCTGCCTCTGTCTCCCAAGTGCTGGGATTAAAGGCGTGCACCACCACTGCCCGGCAAGTCTTTCTCTCTCTTAAAGACAAGGTATTCCAGGTTAACCTGAACCTTGCTGCGTGGTCCTGGCTGGCCTGAAACATTCAGTGATCTTGCTTGTTCTGCCTTGGTGATGCTAAGATTATAGGCATGAACCATAATGCCTTTTTTAAAGGCAAGGTTTCTCACTATAGCCCCAGCTGGATCAAACTCACAGCAGTCCTTTGCTTTGGTCTCTTGAATGCTGGGATTTCGAGTTTGAGCTACTATGAGCATATCCTTTGAACAATTCTTAATTTAAAGAGAATAGAGCAGCCATGTAGCATCATAGTTTGGAAGTGATGAACCACAGTTTTGTTTCTAATCTAGGTTTTAGTTTAACTTTCCTTTTGTTTTTGTTTTTGTTTTTCGAGACAGGGTTTCTCTGTGTAGTCCTGGCTGTCCTGGAACTCACTCTGTAGACCAGGCTGGCCTTGAACTCAGAAATCTGCCTGCCTCTGCCTCCCAAGTGCTGGGATTAAATTCGTGCGCCATCACTGCCCATCTAACTTTCCTTTTCTTTCAGCCCCAATGACAGTCTAGCACAGGCCCCACCACTGAGCTCAATGCCTTGTCCTTCAGACTGGATTTTAGTTTTCCTGATTGATAATAGTTAACTGTTACACCAGCCTTCTGCAGTGGGATAGTTACTGTAAAGATTACAGTAGAAACATCAGGAGGTGTAGAGGCAGCCGGAAGCTAGGAAGACAAGGGTCAGGAAGTGGATGAATTCCCTTGTCTTTGGGATGTTTTTCAGTCTGTTTGTGAGAGAAGGTACTGGAACCCACCCTTCACTGCTTTCAACCAACATGTTTCCACTAGCAGGCTGAGCACAGACCTGAACTGTGTATATCAGAAGAAAGTACTGTTTAATGTGAACTACAGCTTCTGTGCAAGGCTGCCAATGAGCTCTCGTTGATCTGGCCTGGCCGTAGTGTGTCTCACCGTGTCCTTGTCCCTAGGTTTATGTGGTGGCAAATGAGCCTCTCCCAGTGTTGCTGAACTCGCTGCTTCCGCTCCTCGGGGTGTTCTTTTCTCTCTACTGTTTTACTCAACAGAGTGTGTCTCACGTAAGGTAAGCAAGCAGGCCTGACACGCTTAGAATTAGATTCCAATTATTTGTAAACAGTGAAGTTTAAATTAGGGCTCTATTTCCTCTCAAAGTCAGGAAGATGTTTGCAGATTCTCTTACTCGACTTACACAGAAAAGAATGAGGATTTTGCAGGTTGAGGGAAATTGGCCGTAGTTTTGGGATGATTTTTTCTGTAGCATATTCTATGCAACAGAAGGGAAAGGTATTTCCATGGATGAACATGCCATTGATTGATCGATCCGTAAGAAATCCTGTGTTTTACTGTCTCTGGGAAGGGGAAACCAGTGGTAGATGATAATGCCCTGGTGGAGTGTTGGAGAGTAAGTTTGAAAAGTCTGGATTTGAATGTGGCAGCATAGCTTAGGCCTGGGGCTTGGCATTAATATGCAGAGTCTCATTATAGAAGGAAGGGGCTGCCTAGTCATCCAGAAAACACCTTTCTGTGTTACTTTAAAACTGATTCATTTAGGGGCTGCTCTTCCATTCCCAGCACCCACATGGAGGCTAACAACTGTAACTCCACTTCCAGGACATCTGATACATAGACATGTATGCAGGCAAAGCATTCACACACATAAAATTAAATAAATTATTTTTTAAAAAGATTTATTTTTGAGGCCGGGCAGTGGTGGCGCACGCCTTTAATCCCAGCACTTGGGAGGCAGAGGCAGGCAGATTTCTGAGTTCGAGGCCAGCCTGGTCTACAGAGTGAGTTCCAGGACAGCCAGGGCTACACAGAGAAACCCTGTCTCGAAAAACAAAACAAACCAAAAAAAAAAAAAAGATTTATTTTTGAATTGGCTGTATTTTCAGTCATTTATGATATTTCGTCCCCATGGTAAGAGTTTATAGTTACATCCTTCCCTGACTTTTGTGAAGACAGCGTGTAAACTGGAGTCCCTAGCAGGGACTCTGACAAATAATAAGCTTAGTGACTCACAGTGGACATCAGCGTGGCTGCTAATGGTAAAGAAAGACTTTCAGCCTTGTACTTACGAATAAAGGCATGTGCAACCATGTCCAGCCCCAAGATAAAAATAAATCTTAAAAAAAACACCCCAAACCCTAAGTTCTCATGGCACCATTCCATCCTCATCAAAGACTGAGAGGAGATGCCTGTGCCTACCCCAGCCCCTCCTAGTTAGATGGCACTGATAAAGAAAGCAGCAGTCTTTTGCATATAGGCCATTTTTTGGTCACCAGCTGTTGATCCCCTGATAATGGTTTTTTTCATTGCAAACTTTTGTTTATAGTGTCTGATCTGAAGGTAGAACACACTTGAAATAAGAAAAAAAAAAGTCACCTGCTGCTCATGTGGCAGCCAGCGTTGCTTCTAGAGCCAAGGGTCAGGCTGTCCCTGTGACCTCCAGGGCATTTGCACGCTGAGATTTGCAAGATTCATGCTTCTCTGTCGTGTGTCAGCAGCCAGTAGCCAGGCAGCATTTGAGATGAAGTGGAACCTGACAGTCTTTCTTTCTTTTTTTCCCCCTGCATAGCTTGCTAGCTTTGTGGAGTAAGATTGCAAGCTCATTCATTCATAACTGCTTTGTCTGCCAGGTCACTTTGCCAAGAGATCTTGTTATGGGTTCTGGTGAAGCTGGAAAGGAAGAAGGCAATCGCCAGCCTGAAAGGATTTTCAGGGTTGGACAAAGCTGTGCCCGCTCTCCACCCTCAGTGTCAGTTTAGAGCTGCTACGCACGGTGGCATTGTGATTACCGTCAAAGAGGCCATTAGGTGAGCTTACCCAACCCGGATTGTCACGCCTGATAGAATTTTGTATATGACACTGTTCTGTGAGTCAACCGCTAAGGGGCGCTGATGGAAAGGAAACCAGAAACAGGCAGCCAAGGTGTTTGCTATTTATAATCTTTAAAGAAACCAGAGCCTTAAATGATCCTTTGGGTGTCATTCCAAGATGCCAGCTAACAGTGGGCGTGGCTTACTGAGCCTCACAGCTCTGCACCACAGCTGCCCAGCTCAGGGTTTGCCGAACTCAGAGCAGAGGGTGGCACATGTCCATCCTTAGCACTAGAGCAAGCCCGTCTGTCTCTGACTCAAAGAGCAGTATGGATTTGTGTGCCTTTTTAAAAAATTATTTATGTATTTTTTTTTTTTTTGTCTGTGTCTGTACATGCCTGCCTGATGGAGCAGAGGGTATCCAGTCCCCGGGAACTGGAGGTACCGATGGTTATGAGCCTCTGTGTGGATGTTGGGAATCAAACCCAGATCCTCTGCTCCCTCCCCAGCCTTATTCTTTATTTGTTTTTGTTTTTGTTTTTCGAGACAGAGTTTCTCTGTGTAGCTCTGGCTGTCCTGGAACTCACTCTGTAGTCCAGGCTGGCCTCGAACTCAGATATCCACCTACCTCTGCCTCCCAAGTGCTGGGATTACAGGCTTACGCCACCACTGCCCAGCCCCAGCCTTAGTCTTAAGGGAAATTGTCTGATTACTGCCCTTGGTAGTTTTGTAGTGAGGATTGTTTCTCATAAGACTGGATTAGAAAGTACTTAATAGATTTTAGTAGAGTGGATAATTTATTTCTCCAGTGTCTCACAAGTATTTTGTTTTGTTTTATTTTATTTTTGTCAGGCTGAGATTAAACCTAGGGCCACATATATACTAGGCAACTGAGTTGTGCTCTCAGCCCCACATGTCTGTATTTTACGTGCTATTTCTACTTTCTGATGATTTGTAGAAGATGTTATTTTCCCAGAACCTAAGCTTCTGTTGGCTGTCAACCTGGAGTATGTCACTGGTCCAGCCGCTCACTTTGGTCACATTCAAAGAGTTGCTGTTTGTTGAAGTGCTTAAATTTAACTTTATAGTCATGATTAGTTTGTCAAAAAATTAAAACATAAATGAATGTGATAGACTTAAAGAAAATAGAAAAAAATATGTATTAAAGTAGAATTATCAGAACGAATGGAAGCTTCCTGAGAACTGTTGAATGTTAGTAGGTCTGTTACTATGCCCATTGAGTATAAGAATTTAAAATTATTTGGCATGTTTAATTAGTGCATATATATATGAAAACTCACAGTTCTCACTGAAATTATTATTTTACTTCCTGTAAAATATAGTTCGTAACCAGTAATTAAATGAATCTCCATCAATTGCCAGAAGCAACCACTCCTTAAAATCTGGGATGTCTGCTCAGGTTAGGAGTGTAGTCCTTTTGATATTACACACACACACACACACACACACACACACAAATGTTACATGAACACCTGGGTTTAAAAAAAATAGGGTCCATAGACACTTAAAGTAGTCAGAGTTTCCAAAAACTTGAAAATTATGTATGTGATGTGTTGTCATTTGCTCCCAAAACCTTACTCCCTAAACCTTGCTAGTTCCCCAAGTGTAGGGCAGAGTGGGGGCGGGGTGCAGAGAAGGGCAGCCAGCGGATATATTTACTACTTTCCTTTCACTCTACCATTAGCCCAGCAGCAGTTTCCAGTAAGAGGTTGTTTTAAAGAAATTTTAAGCAAGGCACAATGGTGCACACCTTTAATCCCAGCATTTGGGAGGCAGAGGCAGGCGGATCTCTGTAAGTTCAAAGCTAGTCTGGTCTTCATAGTGAGTTCCATGCAGGCCTGGGCTATATAATGAGACTGTCTCAAAAGAAACAGACAAAAACAAAAACCCAGCTCTAAATGAGCGCTTAGATATGAGCTTTGGAGGCAGATCTTTCTAAAATTTTTTATTGTTGCTGCTTGTTCACTATGTTGCCCAGACTGGTCTTAAATTTACTATGTAGTCCAGGCTGGCATCAAACTTGAAACAGTTATCCTGTATCATCCTAAGAATGTGATACAGGAATGAACCACCACAGCCAACATCAGTGATCATCTTTTTTTTTTTTCTTTTTTTTTCTTTTTTTATTTTTTGACACACCTGACCTTTTTTTTTTTAATTTTTCAATGAATTATGTCTACAGCTAGTTCCTTCACAAATCTTTTCCTATTTGAGAAATAAATGCAGTTTAGCTTCTAATAATAAATACCTTGCATTCTTCAGCCCAGAGATAAAGGAAAATACTTTCAAGATCTATCTGATGATTACCTGTATGGAAATATTGTTACTTTAGAATGTTACTGTGAGGTTTCAGCTTCCGAGATGGCGCAGCAGGTGGAGGTGCTTGTGCTCAGGCCGGAACCTGGATTCTTGGATCCCACAAGGTGTCAGGGGAGAACTGATTCTTGAGAATTGTTCTCTGACATCCACATGCAACCTTATGCCAACACACATGTGCCCCTGTAGCCACACATCCAGCATAAAATAAACCTTCTGAAAAAGAGAATTACTGAGATTTCTAGGAAAAATGCTGCTTGTCGACACTGACATGGACACTCTTGCTCCGTGCTGCAGCGATGATGAAGATGAAGCCCTGTTCCAGAAGGTGTCTTCAGAGCAGAGCCAGATGGAGCATCTTGGGGACTTGCTGTTGCACTGCCAGCAATGTGGCTTGGCAGGAGATTTCTTCATCTTTTGTCTGAAGGTAGGAGCCCATACAGTTACACCGCTTCCTTCTGGGGTAGCTCTTGGAAAGCCTTTGTCTTTTTAAGCCTTCATAATTTTAGGTCCTGAAATTTAGCTTCCAGTTTAGGACAAATGAACAGAAGACAAAGAGTAATTAATTCAGCTGCTCCCAGGCTCCGGAGTGGACAAGAGAAGAACCATCAGTGGGACCGGCGTGCTCTGCCTACTGTGCTAGCTCATCTGCATTGAAATGTTAGACATGAACAAAGCTGCCTTGTTAGTCTATGAAAGAGTTAATCTTTGCTCCATGTTGACAGTAAGATCTCTTTTGAAGTTAATAGCTGGTTCTGCAGCCGCAGAGTAATCCCTTGTCCTTTAGGACTGTTGTGCTGTCAGGTATCTGGAAGGGAAACTCAGCCATTCCGCCTCCCTCATTTCTCTCTGTAGCCACTTAAAACCTTTTCCGGTTCCTTGCTGAGTGCTGGTTGTTGTGCTTCCTTTGGCCTCAGTCTTCAGTAGTAACTTGTATCTTATAACGTTCTCTCTGTCTGATGTCTGCTGGTGACCACTCTCTCAAGTCTGTCCTGAGAGTGTCTGGAGTTTAAGGATGGGTGGTGGCTGGGAACATGAAGCTGATGTTTCTAGAACTTAAGTGGGGGCATTTCTTTTGGTGCTTTCTCATCTCCAGTTCATGACCGTCTCCACATCAGCCACACTGATGTCTAAGGAGGCGTGAGCCCATGTGTATGCTTTGTTTCCAGCTGCTCTTGGTGTAAGAGCACTGGCTGCTTTTGCAGAGACCTGAGTTCAGTTCCTAGCACCCACATGGTGGCCCACAACCTTCTGTAACTCCAGTTCCAGGGAATCCTTCTTACCTCTACATGCAAAACACATACACACACATGCAGGCAAAATACTCATATACATAAAATAAAAATAAATGAATCTTTTTTTTTTTTAAAGGTTCAAATCAGCCAAGTTTGGTGATACATGCCTGTAATAGCAGCACTCTGGAAGCTGAGGCAGGAAAACAATTTTGAATTTCAGGCCAGCACAGGTTATATAAAGAGACTATTTCCAAAGCAAACAAAACAAAATGCTGCCACCACTCAATCAAAGGGCTTTAATTTAAATCCGTTTGTTTTTTGAAGGGTCTCATGTAGCCTGCATGGCCTCAAACTATCTAGCCAGTGATGACCTTGAACTTCTGTTCTTCCTGCCTCTACTTCCTGACTGCTAGGATTACAGACAGGCATGCGTTTTACAGTTCTTGTGATGGAACCTAGGAATACACATACACACATGCTAGGCAGGTCCTCTACCAACTACGCTGTATCCAGTCAACCCAAACCCCTTAAACTGTGGGTTCTGCCTCTAGAGGAGGTCACATAGTAAATGTGGGAGTCACAAAACATTTGTCATCACTAAAAGATTTCTGAACACAAAATAGCCAAAACGCCATTCAACACCAGATGGGGAATGAGCTCAGGGTGTTTCTGAGAGCTCTTGCATCACGCAGCCTCACCGAGGCTTTGGTTCTGAACACACAGCATATGGGCTTTGCATAGCATAGGCCGTCGTGCCATTCAGCAAGACGAGCAAGCCTGAGATGTTTCCACTCATTTTAGGCCTTTGTAGGCCGTAAATCACAGCACCTCTGCTTTTATAGAAACAATGGTTTAACAGTGGGAAACAAAGGCTATCATTCTTCAGTAGTAAATAATAAATTAGTATGTGTTTTTTAAATTTTATTGCATTAGGATTTTTGATTTTAAAAATTGTTAGTTGAGGGGCTGGAGAGAGGCTCAGGTTGAGAGCTGCTCTTTCAGAGGCCTTTAGTTATGTTCTCAGCATCCATGTCAGGCTGCTCCACCTACTTGAGCACCACAGGATCCGGCATCCTCCTCGGGCCACCTTGGGTTTCTGTGCTCACATGAACGTACCCCTGCCACCACAGACACATGCATAATGATAAATACTTAAAAATTTCTGATTGGGCTGCTGAGCTTGATTCTTCATTAATAAAAAAAATCATTAAATGATATTTGGCCTTGGATTAGGTTAGAATTTTGAATAAGTTCTGAAATGGCCCTTGACTGATTTCTCCTATTTTTGTATTTATATAAGGAAAGCTGAATTTTTAGCATTGATGATAAAAAAATCAAAATGTGGATCTGCTCTAAGAAACATTGAAGATGCTGTGCATTTCTGCAGTATCAAATATTCAAGATTGAATTCTTAATATAAAATTAGTCAAGCACCCCATCTCATTAGTATGCAAATTTGTTCATCTTTAATAGATGGTAAAAGCATATGTATGCCAACGAATTGTTTTAAATTTCTTTATAATTTATTGCTACTGTATGCTTGACCAGTACTCTTATTCTGTGTACATCCATACATGGAGTTGTATTAAGATTTCTCAGGGAAAAGAGATTGTGAGTTGAAATGTTTAGGAAGCCCTGCCTGAAACCAGGGAAACTTCATCTTGGCAAAATTAACATTTGGTCTAGATAAGTGTATTCTTCGGTGTGGTTGTCTTGTTCTTTGCAGGATATTTAGCACCTTCTGTGACCTCTACCCACTAGATACCTTTGTTAACCGCCAACTATGACAACCAAAATGTCCTGCAGACGTTTCAAAATGTCCCCTGGGGAGGAAAATTACCCAAGCACGGTTGAACACCATCACTCTCAGCTGTCAGCTACTTTAGCAAAGTACTAATTGTTAGGGAACTTAAGGTTTCCCTTTCCATGGGAATTCACAATGGAGAAGCTTACCAAACCCACAATAATGAATTCTCCATTAATAGAGGTTTATTCCTGACTTGTCTAAAAGGAAAGGCTTCTAATGGTCTCTTAAAGGACTTTGGCTAAGTTAATACCATCTGAGGGCTCAGTTCAGGGAAGGCTAGTGATGGAAATGTGAAACTATTATAAAAAGTTAAACAAGTCTTTTTTTATATACTTACTATTTGTGTGTGTGTTTGTGTACATGGGGGTTGGGGTAGGGAAAGCTTTGTGTGCCACTGTGCATGTGTGGAGTTTAGAAGATGATCTCCATGAGTTGGTTTTGTCCCCCAAACCATTGTTTGTTCTCTGTCTCTCTGTCTCTCTCTCTGTCTCTCTCTGTCTCTCTCTGTCTCTCTCTGTCTCTCTCTCTTTGTGTATGTGTGTGAAGGTTCATGTACATGCTCTTACTATGTGCATATTTCTCTACAGCTTGTTTTTCTTTCCTTTTCTTTGAGTACTAGACAAGAAGCTATACCCCTAGTTCTTTTTACTTTTTGACTTTGAGGCAGGTCTCACTGAGTTGTCTAGGGTGGTCCTGGACTCTCTCTGTAGCCTCAGTGGGCCTCAAACCTGCAATCCTCTTTCCCTAGTCTCCCAAAGAGCTGAGACTTGAGGAGTATGTAGTCACTACAGATCACATTCTTGCACATAAACTTCCTACGTTTGCCGTGTCCTTAGTGCCACTGCCTCTCTTCACTCCTCTCACCCTGCTTCAGGAGTTGTCTCACCTGCTGGAGGACAGTGAAGCAGAGTTAACACCCAAGCCCTCCTGCTATGCAAGCCTCCTGGAATTAGAGCAATACCAGACTCTGCTTATAGAAGACCAGGAGCGGAAGCTGCTGGTCCTGCAGTTGCTGGCCATTCTGTGTGAGAAAATGTCTGAGCAGATATTCACACACCTCACTCAGGTAAGTAGCTGTCATACTTTGGATCCAGCCTGTTGTTATTTTGGTGTCTTTACATTTTTGTTTCTTCAAAAAAATAGATGTTGCTTAAGTGAGCATGGCAGTACATACCTTTAATCCCAGTACTTGGAGGGAGAGGTAGGCAAATCTCTGTGAGCTGGAGGGCAGCCTTGTCTACAGAGTGAATTCCAGGCCAGCCAAGGCTATGTACTGAGATCCTGTCTGAAAAACAGTAGTTTAGAATGTAATTTGACAGCACCCTTTCCATGTTTCTGGGAATTCTGACTAAGCATGAAGGCTCTGACTTAAGTTTACCAGCTGAATCTGAGGCTTTCATATGACTCCACGTGCTTAACATGCTTCTGATGTGAACCTTACCTAGGAAAACTTCAAGAACTGCTCTACATATTTTGTATGATGTAGTGATATTCAGCTTTGAGTGCAAATAAACTCACACTACCTACCTGGCTACATGTTAGGGCCTTTGATTTAGTTTGCCAGAATAAGAGCCTGAAGGTCTTTATTTTTTGTATAGTTGTTCATGGGTCAGAGGTTATGAATGGAAGGCAGGAGCGATGGCTCAGAAGCTGATGAATGGAAGGCAGGAGCAATGGCTCAGAAGCTGAGAACACTTGCTGAACAAACACAAGAGCCAGTATTTGAATCCTCAATGCCCACCTAGGTGGCCGGGTGTGACTGCGAGTAGTGTGCCTGTGACCCCAGCTCTCTGAACAGCCAGGTGTGAACAGGCGCATGTGCCTGTGACCCCAGCTCTCTGAACAGCCAGGTGTGAACAGGTGCATGTGCCTGTGACCCCAGCTCTCTGAACAGCCAGGTGTGAACAGGTGCATGTGCCTGTGACCCCACACAAAGGATCTGCTGCTGCTTGCTGACCCACCAGCATAGGGTCAGGCTCCGTGAGAGACTGTCAGTCAAATAAATAGGGTAGACAGGAATAGAGCACTTGACACTCTCCTCTGGCCCCTTCATACACATAGGCACGTACATATGTGCATACACATATGTGTACGTATGCCACACACATATATGCACACATAAGTTGAGAACAATTGGAATTCAAATTTGAAAAAAAAAAGTGTTACCCTTAGCATGGTTGTACACACACTTTGTGTCCCAGCACTCAGGAGACAGAGGCAGGAGGATCTTTGAGTTCAAGATCAGTCTGGTCTACAGAACAAGTTCCAGGACAGCCAGAGCTACACAAAGAAACTCTGGAAAAACCAACCAACCAGCCAAACAAACAAACAAAAACAAAAAACTGTGAAGTGGAAACTTCTGGTTTCTTTGGAAAGTCAGTTATGTCAAATGATGTGTTGGTGAGACACACATGTGAAAGAATGTTTTGCAGAAGCTGACACAAGTGATAAGATGTTTTGCTGAAGCAGACACAGGAAAGGACACGTGATGTTTAGAAAGAATATAAATATGACTCCACAGACAGTGGGATCTCAAGAACTATCAAGCTTCAGCTCGCTAGTCTTCGCTGACAACCGGCATGTACTGGTTTGCCCTACACTGTGTTGTTGAGCTTCGCTAGTGGTGACACCATAGAGAGAAACTCGCCAAAGAGCTTCTCCTGAGGTTCCTGGGGCTTCTTGCCGCTTCAGTGGACTCAGGCTGATTGCCAAGCCTCATGGTTTCCTCTGGATTGAACTGCCTTTGCTGCTTTGTGTGTGGTGTCTGCCGAGTGCACTGGGCTGCAGTAGCTGCTGCTTTGTGTGTGGTGTCTGC